CCCCACACACACACACTCAACACCCTCACTCACACACCCACACTCACTCACTCACACACACACTCACTCACTCACTCACTCACATGCACACACTCAACACAGGTCACACACACACACACTCAACACAGGTCTCACACACACACACTCAACACAGGTCACACACTCAACACAGGTCACTCACTCACACACACACACACTCAACACAGGTCACTCACTCACTCACTCACTCACACACACACTCAACACATCACACTCACTCACACACACACACACACACACACTCAACACAGGTCACTCACTCACTCACTCACTCACACACACACTCAACACGGGTCACACACACACTCACACAGCTTTTGACTTTTAACAGACAACACAAATTTTCCAAATTCAGCGTTTTCTCTAAAAATTGTAATAGATTATTAGATTGTTAAAGTATTTTTTTAATTCAATTAATTTGAAATGCTTTTTGATGATTCAAATTTAATTAAACCGTTAAAACAGAATCCAGAACAATTAAAACAGGAAACACAGAATTTTGGAAAAAATAACATGGATTTCATTGGGCTATAATTAGATTTCATCCTGACTGTTTATTATGATTTTGTGTGTGTGACACAGGTCACTCACTCACTCACTCACTCACACACACACTCAACACAGGTCACTCACTCACTCACTCACTCACACACACACTCAACACAGGTCACTCACTCACTCACTCACTCACACACACACTCAACACGGGTCACACACACACTCACACAGCTTTTGACTTTTAACAGACAACACAAATTTTCCAAATTCAGCGTTTTCTCTAAAAATTGTAATAGATTATTAGATTGTTAAAGTATTTTTTTAATTCAATTAATTTGAAATGCTTTTTGATGATTCAAATTTAATTAAACCGTTAAAACAGAATCCAGAACAATTAAAACAGGAAACACAGAATTTTGGAAAAAATAACATGGATTTCATTGGGCTATAATTAGATTTCATCCTGACTGTTTATTATGATTTTGTGTGTGTGTGTGTGTGTGTGTGTGTGTGTGTGTGTGTGTTGTAGGTGAGAACGCCTGGCTGGAGGGTGACTGTGAGGAGATTCAGAGCCCAGAATGCCCTGTAGGGTGAGTGATGCTGATGTAGGAGTGAGTGTGTGTGTGTGTGTGTGTGTGAGTGTGCGCGCGTGTGTGTGCTTGTGTGCGTGTGTGCGTGCTTGTGTGCGCGTGTGCGCGTGTCTCATACACACTGAGTTTGTGCACTGAATCTGCTCTCGTGTGTGTTTGCTGAAGGTTTGTCCGTCCTCCTCTCATCATCCTGTCTCTGGACGGCTTCCGTGCCTCTTACATGAGAAAAGGGAAGAGCGTCTTACCCAACATCCACAAACTGAGTACAGAATCTCATCTCTGCATCACACCAATCCCACAATCCCTTCCTGCACACACACTGACACTGGACCTCAGTCAGGTCAGACGCCATGTTTAAAGGCGCAGTAAGCGATTTTAGAAAAACTCTGTTGAGAAGTGGATCGGACCGAGCACCAAACAGCATCAAGGGGCGTGTCCACTCGTGCTGGGGGAGGAGACAGAGGTCAATGCACAAGACGGACATGTTCACCCAAAAATGAAAATTCTCTCATTAATTACTTGTTCCAAACCCGTAAGACCTTCGTTCATCTTCAGAATATAAATTAAGATATTTTTGGTGAAATCCGAGAGCTTTCTGACCCTCCATAGACAGCAAGGCAACTGAAACGTTAAAGGCCCAGAACTGTAGTAAGGACATCGTTAAAATAGTCCATGTGACATCAGTGCTTCAACCGAAATTTTACGAAGCTACGAGAATACTTTTTGTGTGCAAAGAAAATTAAAATAATAACTTTATTCAAAGATTTCTTCTCTTCCGTGTCATTCATGAGAGTACCACGACGCACTTTAATCATTGCCTGTGTTGTGAATGTGGGGGCGGAGCTATCAAGATGGGGGTGTGTTTGTTTTGGTGATTTCAAATGTCAACAGCATTTTCCAGAATTCGCTCACTGCACCTTTAATGTAATGCAAATTAAACCACAGGTACACTTAAAAGTGTGTTTTGGATGTTTTCTTTCTTCTAGTCTGTAACAACACTTAAAGGGGTCATATTATGTGATTTCAGTTTTTTCTTTCTCTTTGGAGTGTTACAAGCTCTTGGTAGATCTGTGAAGTTGCAAAGACTAAAGTCTCAAATCCAAAGAGATATTCTTTATAAAAGTTAAGAGTCAGCCACACCTACCTGAAACGGCTCGTTCTAACACACCCCCACATGTCTACGTCACTATGTGGGAAGATTTGCATAACGCCGCCCATATGTTCACGCAAAGAAAGAAGGCGTAACTTTTATTCTCGCTGTAGTATTGTTGCCGCCACTGCCATGTCGTGAAGGTGCTGTGTGATTTGTTGTGAAAGCGAAACTACTTTGTTTGGCCTTCCAAAAGAGGACTATCACTTCGTCATGCCTGGAGCTGAACCGTGCTGGTTGCTGAGGAAATACATCAACTTTGCACTGTGGATCGCTGGATCGGCTTTAACCGTGGACAAAGCGGAGTCCAGCCCGGGGTCGTCACATGTGGTTGCCGCAAGCCCTCCGGACGCTCCTTCGTCGAATCCGCCAGGCGCGCCGTTCTCAAGCCCACTGGCCTCTGCTCACTCTAGCCCTCCGGCCGATCCTCACTCTAGCCCCCAGCCTCTGCTCACTCTAGCCCCCGGCCTCTGCTCACTCTAGC